ATTAGGAGTACTTTAATATCAATGAGAAAAAAAAAAGGCACACCATAACAAACTTAATAAAGCCAGGCTTGGGAGAATATTTACAACTATAAATGCTTAAATTAGAAAAGAAGAAAGATTTCAAATTCCACAATCTAATTTTCTACCTACAGAAAGTAGACAAAGAACAATCTGAGCCCAAAGCAAGTAGAAGGAAGTAATTTAAAAATTACAGTGGAAATAAAATAGAGACTAGAAAAACAACAGAGAAAAGTAAATGACATCAAGAGTTGGTTGGGGAAAAAATGAAGAAAATTAACAAGTCTTCAATCTACATGGACCAAGATGAGAAGAGAGAGAGAGAGAGAGAGAGAGAACTTACTACTGACCTTATAGAAATTAAAAGAATAATAATACAATACTATGAACAAGTGTATGCCAAATTAACTATCCAGGTGATATGGAAAAAAATAGAAAGGCATACACTACTGAAACAGACACAAGAAGAAATAAAAAATCTAAAAGGACACATAACAAGAAATTAAATAAATAATGATAATGATGATGATGATAATAATAACAACAACAATAAAAGGCAGCCAAGGTAGCCAGGCTCAGATAGCTTCACTGGCAAATTCTATGATATTAATACCATTTTTTTTTTTTATATTTTGCCACTGGGCACATGCACTTGCTAGAGAGAGACACACAGACAGAGGGAAAGTGAGAAATCACCTCCCCCCCACCCCAGGTGGATGGCTGCAATCCTTTCTTCTCCATTCTTCTCTCAGGATTTTGTTTATGAACACATGTGCCCAGTGTGATTTTCAAGCTGCCTGGTCCAGTACTTGAACCATGGTGGGTCATCTGGGAGTCCAGTGCCTTAACCACCACACCAAATGCTGGCACCCTACCAAATGTTTGAAGAAGAATTAATACCAATCCTTATTAGAAGTTCTTCAAAAACGGAAAAACACATTTCAACTCATTTTGATGACAGTATTGCCCTGATATTAAAATTAAAAAAAAAACAAAAAACTACAGACCAATGTTCCATATAAATATAGATACAAAATAAAAAAATAATTAAAACACTAGCAAACTGATCCAGCACAAAAGACAATGTACAGAACATGATCAAGCAGAATTTTCCCTAGAAATGCAAGGTTGGTTCACCATACGAAAGCATTCAATCATGTGACCAGCAGGTAGAATGGGGATTTAAAGCAGCTGGATCCCATATGGCCAACTGCATGGTTCAAGTACTGGACCTCATTGACTGGAAACACTCTGGGCACATGTTCATGTGTGCTCAAAATCCTGAGGGGAGAATGGAAGAGAAAGGATTATGGTGTAGCCATCCTCCCGGAGAGTGATTTCTCACTTTCCCTCTCTCTCTGTCTCTCTCTAGAGAGCACATGTGCCCTCTAGCAAACATAAACAAACAAATAAAAACAACAATCATATGAATGAAAACAATGAAAAACAAAAACCATATGAAGATCAGTCATTGCAGAAAAATGTACTAGACAAAATCTTTTAAAAAAAAGTTTTAAAATTATTTAACTTTATTTATTTATTTAAATCTAACCAGAGGTGGTGGTGGAGAAAGAGAGAGAGGGAAAGTGAACAAGCAAGACACCAGGTCCAGGACTTGAACTGTGGTCAGCCATGTGGGAGTCTAGTGTTCTTAACCACCATGCCATCTGCTGGCCCCATACTGGACAAAATCTTAATAATGAATAATGGTGAAAAAAAAAAGGAAGAGGGAAACTTGCAACTTGATAAAGGTATCTGCAAAAAATTCGGAGTTATATTTATACTTAGCAATGATACAGTAAAAGTTTTTCTCTCTGGGATCAATAATAGGGTGAGTAGATAAGGATATCTACTCTTGCCACTTTCTTTTGCTGTGTTTTTTGTTTGTTTGCTTACTACAGGGCATGTGCACTTGCCAAAGAGAGACAGAGAAAGAGAAAGGGAAAGCAGGAAATCATCCCCAAAGAGGAAAGACATCCCACAATCTCTTTTCTTCCATTATCCTCTTGGGATTTTGCTCCTGGTATGATTTTCATTCCACTGGGTCTGGGACTCTAACAACACAATCAGCCATGCGTTATCCAGCTGCCTTATCCTCCATGCCACCTGCTGGCCATGCCACTTCCTCTATTCAACATATAGCTTGAGGCTCTAGGCAAGGCAACTAGGCAAGAAAAGGATATAAAAGGCAGCTAGACTGTAAAAGAAGTAAAACTATCTCCATCTACAGATGATGTGACACCACATAAATACTTAAAGCTAATAAACAAGTCTGGCATAACTGTAGGATGTAAGATCAAATATATAAAAATCATCTATATTTCTAAATACTAGCAACTAAAAACTAAAAAAAAAATGAAACTATGGGGCCAGCTGTAGTGGCAGAGAGGTAATGTAATCCTCTGCATTATTGGACCCACATGGGAGGGTTCTGGTTTTACATCCTGGGACATCATTGAACACAACAGGTACACATGTGCCTGTCAGATCCAGGCTGGATGAGGCTGAAGGTAGATCACAAAGTGAAGATCTTATTAGAGACTACTCTCTCCTTCCTCCCCAACCATGAAATAATAGACAATTAAAAAGAGACAATCCTGAAAACAATGAAATTATGAAAACAATTTACTTACACAAAATGAACAAGAAATTAAGGAATAAATTAAACCTAGGTAATATAAGACTTGTACACTGAAAACTACAAAACATCACCAAATGAAATTAAATACCTAAAAAAAAGGAAATATATCCACATTCATGAACTGGAAGATTAAACATTATTAATACAGTAATACTCCCCTAATTAATCTAGAGATCCAACATAATCTGAATCAAATCCCAGTTGCCCTTCCTTACTTTTTTTTGGAGGAGGGGCATAAAATTCATATGGACATGGAAGGGATTCAAAAAGGCTAAAGAACATTCAAAGAAAGAAAGAAAGTTAGTTAGTTGGTGGACTAACACCAATATAAAAAAATCTACTGCAAAGCTATAAAAATCAAGATGGTGTGGTACTGACATAAAGATGAGCATATAGGGGAACCAGCAGTTAGCGTAATGGCTATGTCGCTGGACTCCCACGTAGTTGACCGCGGTTCGCGTCCCGGACCCGGTGGGTTGG